CCTTGGCTCATTCTTTTGATAAACAGCAGGGGCTGATTGCAAAGATTTGATTTTATGATGGACTGCTAGGAGTCCCAAGTGTACGAGACCTTGAACTGGAGCAGTTCTGGAGTACTAGATAACCTTGACACCCACTCAGAGGGGAGGGGCAGCACTGCAGGGACAGAACCCCTCAGCAGTTTCTGGGTGGATAGTAACTAAATGGAGCTGGCCAGAAGGCTCAGCAGGTAAAGGTGCTTGCTGCAGCTGGAGACCGAGTTCAAGCTTCACAGATCACACAAGGGTGGAAGGACTGAACAGACCGCAGACACTCTTCTGACCTCCCACACCTGCCCAGGCATACACATGCTCGAGCACACAACCATAAAAAACACAAACTAGAACGCATGAACTGGAATGTTCTTTCCTGTTTCAGCATCTTTCTATTTTTAAGAATCAAAGTTCACTAAGGGGACACACAAGCTGGCACACTACCTTCCACACTTACAAGATATTATCAAGACATCACATTCTGTTCCCACCAAAAATCAGTCAGGAAGTTGCGGCAGAGGCCGATGAGGACTGGATTTTGACAGTCCTCCTCTACACAGAGTCTCCCATACAGCCGCTGACAGTGACGCCAATTGGACAGTGCAGGCAAGGCACTCTTGATCACAGCATCAGCCATTGGTAAAGACCAAGGGATCCTTTCCCTGAGGTGGGGAGGATGCCTGACAACAGTGATCACTGGGTGACATCTGCTTTAGTCACCATCTCTGAGGCAAGAGGACACTGGGGGACCAGGAGGAGGTGAACACGAGGACAGATTAGGCAGCAGGACACGGATCAGGATGAGGGAAGGAACGCAACCCTGGTGCCACTCTCTCCTAGAGGGTGATCACTTTTGAGACAGTAACAATCAAGGGACACTGAAGCCAGACACACTGCATCCTGGAGTCAAGGGCACCTGCAAGATTGACACTGAGCAGGAATGGGGCCCTCTACTCTCCTAGTGGGCAGGACTCTGGAATTTTAAGAAGGAAGCTTCAGTGTCCCCCTTACCTTACGCCAGAGCTAGGGAGCCACTCGAGTTCCCAGCCTCATGCTTGTCACTTCTAGGTACCTGTCACTCCTCTTCAGCAACCAGAATAGTCTTAAAGTCTGAAAGTCACTTCAAGGTAGAAAATAGGCAATTTAGGGCCATTTTTTACTTCATAGTAAGTTTGAGGCCAATCTGAACTACTGAACTAGTCTTAAACAAAAAAGACTGGACAAAATCTGAGGGTAAGGGATAAAAATGGTTGACACTGAGCTGTAACCTTGGAGGATAGGAGAGTTGAGGCTAGCCAATCTCAAAAACAAAAGCAAAACTGGGTACAGTGGACACACCTTTAATCCAGGCACTAGGAGGTAGAGGCAGGCAGATCTGTGAATTTGAGGCCAGTATGATTTACAGAGAGTTCTGACAGTCAGTTCTAGGACATGGATTCTGTCTAAAAACAGACTATTCCTATGGCAAAACCAAAAAGGTGTTCAACACCATCAACCCAAAGGAAACATAAACTAAAAGCATGGGACAATATCACACTATCAGAAGAGTCGAGAGAAAAGGTGCACACTGGTGAATGAGGGCTAGACACTGAGGAAGTGTGGCCATCTCTGGTCTGCTTTGTTGCTGCAGATGGAATTCAGTCTAGGCTCAAATTCACTCTCTAGCTGAGCATGAGTTTGTACTCCTGATCACTCTGCCCCACCCCCCAAGCCTCAGGATCACAGGTATACCCACCCCACCTATTTGTTGAAAAAAAACTACACATGCAGTTGCCAAAAAACAACAGTACTCTTGGGCACTCACATCCAAGAAATAAATCCATATCCACACAGAAAGCCACCCACGGATGTGCACAGTTGCTTTAATTGTCATGGTCCAGATCTAGACTATCTGTGTCTTTCCATGAGCTCACAGTTAAGTTGTGAACTACTGCTCAATCAACAACAACAAAAGCATATTGTCACACTTGGATTAACTTCTTAGGGTATTGTGCTGACCGAAAAGCCAATCACCAGGCTTTGGGGATGGCTCAGTGGGTAAAGCATTCATCTCCAGTGCGAGGACCTCAGTTTTACTCCCCAGAACCTACGCAGAAGTACTTAGTACTCTGCCGAGGACCTGGGTTAGATTCCCAGTACGCACTGCGCAGCTCAGAACCAGCTGTAACTTCAGTCCCAGGGACCCAGCCCTCCCATCTTCAGCTATGGCCACTGCTCCCACCCCTCGCCTGTGGTGTCTGCAGCTAGCAGTCACGCCCCTGATCTCCTAAAGGGACCTAAATAAATTTGTTCTTCCTAGTCAGTTGGGTTTCAGGAAGCTCACTGTAGTGACCACAGAAACGACCTGATACAACTTTCAAACCTGACATGTCCAGCACTCAGGAAGACTCAAGCAAGAACTGGAGGAAGATCAGTGGCTGCCAGGGTCAGACAGTGGCAGGAGGAAGCAAGAAGAGAGGGTTATCAACATGAAGGGGTTTTATTTTTTTATTAGTTAATCGTTACTTTGCCATTTTCTAGACAGGTCTCACTCTGCACCCTCCCAAACCTTGGGATTGCAGATGGGCCACTGGGCCTGACTTCACCCTCAGGAGCTTTCCAGGGCAGTGGTTTGCAACCCGTGGGTCGAGACCATTTCACAGGAGTCACCATAGACCATAGGGACACTCTGATATTTACATTATGACTCACAATAGTAGCAAACTTACAACTATGAAGTAGCAATGAAAACAGTTGGGATCACCACAGGATGAGGAGCTATACTAAAGGGCTTCTGTATTAGGAAGGTTGATAACCACTGCTCTGGTTGGTATATTTAGTGTGTATGACCTTAAATGCACACATGCATTACCACACAAGTCTGGAGTCGGGACAACTTATAGGAGTCTATTTCTCTTTCCACTATTTGGGTCCCAGGTCAAACTCAGGTCTGCCAGCAGGCACTTTCACCCACTGTGCCATCTTACCATGGATGGTGGTGGATACAGGACTCTCCTCAGGGCTCAAACATCATAGAATTAAACATGTAAGTGGATACACGTAAAACTGGAGATGTGTGAAAAAGAAAGACTGAGCAGTGATGCTGTGTGGTCTCTGACAGAGGGGCTGCATCTTAGGAATTCAGGTTGCATGTCAATTTAAAGTGTTTCCTCTTAACAAGTGTGTGTGTGTGTGTGTGGGGGGGGTGACTGTCCTGCAAGAAACTCAACAGGTAAAGGCGTCTGCTGCCAAGTCTTGGTCCCAATCCCTGGGACCTACATGCATGGAGAACCAATGCCTGCAGGCTGTGCTCTGACCTCTACACAACATTTTTGTTTGTTTTTTCTTTTTTGAGACAGGGCTTCACCACGTCATGTAGCCTTGGCTGACCTTAAACGCAGGTATCTGACTGCCTCAGCCTCCTGAGTGCTGGGCTTAAAGGCATGAGCCACCACACATGGCCACAATTTTTTTAAGGCAGTAAAAAATTTTTTAAGTGTGTATTGTGTGTCCCTGCCCTCAGAAAACAAAAGAACTGTTAGAGACCTTGGAGCTGAGTTACAGGCAAATGCAAGCCTCCTGGTATGGGCGCTGGGAACCAAAACCAGGCCCTTTGCAAGAACAGTCATTTTTTAAAATTACTGAGCCATTTTTTCAGTGGGGCCTTCCTCCACCTTTTCAAATATACTTTTTGGGCTGGTAAGTGGGTGAAAGTGCCTCCTGGCAGGCCTGAGTTTGACCTGGGACCCAAATAGTGGAAAGAGAAATAGACTCCTATAAGTTGTCCTGACCTCCAGACTTGTGTGGTAATGCATGTGTGCATTTAAGGTCATACACACTAAATAAATGAAATATAATAAAAACCTGTCTTTAGTATAGAGGCTGGGGACATAGCCAGTGGTAAAGCAGCAAGGAAGAGGATTTGAGTTCAGATTCCCAGACAGTTTACTAATGTAAAAACCTGGTGTTAGCTCATGTCTGTAACTGCAGTATGCAGGTGGGGCAGAGGAACTCACTGATCAGCCAGTCCTGCTGGCAGGCTCCAAACTCAGTGACAGAGCCTGCCTCAAAAACAAACAAAAACAAACACGCAAAGGATGAAAAAAACAACGAAACTTAAAAACAAAACAAAACTAAACCAGTGTGGCCAGGCAGTAGTGGTACAAAACTTTAATCCCAGCAATCGGGAGGCAGAGGGAGGTGGATCTATGAGTTCGAGGCCAGCCTGGTCTACACAGCAAGTTCCAGGACAGCACAGCTGCCTTGAAAAAACAAAACAAAACAGTGCAGAGAGTATTTGAAAAAGACCACTTGTCACCTCTGACCTCCACACCCACACAAACACAAATTATTCTTATTTTCAAAAACGTACTTACTTTTATGTGTATGAGTGTTTTACCTGTACTTGCATGTCTGTACCATGTATGTGCCTAGTGTCTGCGCATGTCAGATTCCCAAGTGGGTTCTAGCAAGTGCTGTGGAGCACTGAGCCGTCTCCAGCCCCAATGATGAGCTCTGCAGTCATCAACTTCCAATCCTGACCACACACAGCAGCCAGGCAGGACTTCTGTTTGTCAGAAGTCAGCTTGGGGCCTTCCTGCCGTCCCCATTCACCGGCCACTTAGATTTCAAATGACAACAAAAGAAAACCTACCGGGGCGAACAGCTCCGTTTCCCAGAACCCCAGTATGATAGTGACCTCAGGTGAAGGGTAGTAAGGAGGGAGATGGTGAAGAACGTTAGATCATATAGTAAGATACCAGATCCTGAAAGCTGGGAAACCCTAAATGAACAGGTATTTATTATATGCAAATATTCAGAGACCTAGGAGGACACCCAGAGGTCAGTCCTGAAGGGGGTAGGGTGGAAGAGGACTGGCCCAAGGCTATATGGATTTGAACCGCCCAGTGCTGGGAGTAGAAGACTGCATTCCAATTCCAGTTCAACAAGTCTACTTTGTTTAACAAAGGGAAAATAAAGCAAGCACTTACTGCATTCATAGATCTGTTCCAGCTTATCCACAGATGAAAGGGAGAAAAACTTATACCCGGACTTACTACCAACCGCAAGGGACCTGCAAAAAAGCCAAATCAGAAGTAAGAGCTAAGGCACGGAGACAGCAATCATGCATAAACCAGTATCCACCTTTCCTCCCAGTAAACCGGGTTTCTACCAGAAATCACCAGCGTGTTCCGAGTTATCTCACAGGTCTGGATCAGATACATGGTAGAGGATGCTACAGGCCAGAGGTCTGTCAAGCATAAGGCATGGCCATGACGGTTAACAAGGTGCTGGGACCTGACGCAATACGGTTATTACACACAGAACCCAAGCATGTCAGGTGACAGCTCGTGTTTGTGTGCGCATGTGTGTGGTAAACGTGAGCAAGTATAAGCCTTGGTACACAGTGAAGTCAGGGAACGACCTGAGGTGCTGGCCCTCCCCTCCCACCTTGTTAGAGACAGGGCTCTCATCACAGCTGCACACACCAGGCTAGCTGGCCTCCGATGGTCCAGGATCCTCGGTTGCTCCCTACCCAACCTTAGGAAGACTGGGCTCACAGATGAGCAACACACAGCTGGTTTGATGTGTGCTCCTCAGAGTCGAACTCCCTCATTTTCACAGCACATGCTTTACCCTCTGGACTATCTATCTCCCCAGCCCAATGGTCACACATCCTATGTACATGTGTAGGAGGGTACCCCATTAAGGTAGACCTTAAGTATATTTAGGTTTGTCTGTTACCCCTCAATAAAGCCTGGGGAAAGATGAAAAGTAGTAAAAAAATAAATGAACAAAACTCATAGAGCTCTAAGTTTGAGACTTAACCGGACAATAATCAGTTTTGGCACTTGCGGGCCTTCAAGTTCAGTAGGTTGTGCAGCGTTCTCCACCCTTAAACCCGGGCTTGGTATCCATCCTCATTTTGGGACTGTGCCTGAGAGGTGGGGTAGGAATGACTCGCACTGCACTAAGGGAACTACTTAGACCCCGGTAGGGAAGACTATCTTTGTTGCCTTAGACAGAGAAGTGATGGATTCTTTTGGATGGCTTATATTTGACAGGCCATGTTCACCAACTCCCAGCCTTGGCTAAAAGGCCTGGAGCAGTGTCTTGGTGACACCAAATGAAGGGGTTTCTGATCAGAAAACTCCATCTCCAGAAAGCAACTGATCAAGGCAGCAAGAGCAAGCAGCACAGCCAGCCTTCAGGGATGCAAAGGAGGATGGGGGAGAGGGGGGATTGAGGAGACACAGTTTAGACACTGGGGCTGTTCCTGGTCTAAGTGCCTGGGCAGAGCAGAGGACTTTCACCCAATTTGTATTTGTACCCCAGGACAACACTTGGGACTACTTTAACAAGCAGCTCATCTACTGAACACTTGATGTTCCCAGCCCCCCCAGAGAAGTGGACACACTCCTAGAAGCTGGGGATGCTAGGTAACATTTGCCTGTAATTCCAGCATCTGGGAGGCAGAGGTTGAAAGATCAGAAAAGTTCAGGTCCTCCTTGGCTACAGACCAATTTCAAAGGTAGCCTAGGCTGCATGAGGCCCTGAGTCAAACCGCCAAATTGGGGGGAGAGGGAGGATGATAAAGGCTCTATGAGCAGTGCTGAAATCTCAGCAGTATGAGCTTATCTTACAGGACCACAAACTTTCTCCACTAGGTGTTTGTCTTCCTAATACTTCACTGCACTAAGTTCTTTGAACCAAGTAATCAGGTCTAGGTATCTGTACACACTGTGAGCAGTAAAAGGTGGCCAAGTTGGTACACACTTTTAATCCCAGCACTCAAGAGTCCAGCCTGATCCAGGTGCCAGGCCAGCCATGTCTTAAATTAAAAAAAATAAATAAATAAAAGAGAAACAAAAACGGTTCTCCAGAAAGGCTAAAAATAAAATCTCAGCAGTTAAGAACGTCTGGAAAATTGGTGTTCAAGAAAATATCTTCCGGACAAACAAAGTTTCATTATGTCAAGAAAATTTTAATCTCTCTTACCTCAACTATTTCTGAATTTAAAATACAAACCACCCTGGCACCTGGGAGGAAGAAGCAGGAGTATCAGCAGTTCAGAGCTAGCCTGGGCTTCACAATGAGTCCTTGCCTCACAGTAAAAAATGAAAACACCCAAAATACCAACGACAAAAAGAAAAAACATAAATCATTCTTAAATTGTTTATTTTCCTGTATGTTTTAAAGATGTGTATTTATAGGAGTACATCTATGTGAATGCCTGCCACACGTGTGGGGCAGCTGCAGTGATGTAACAGGTTGCTAATGGTCCTCTGGAAGAATAACAAGGGCTCCTAACTACTGAGCCACCTTTCCAGACCCCCAAAGAAAATGTTTCTGTGTTCTTAAGACAAAAGGACACATTCTTGTCTCATTTGTTTGAAATAGAATCTAAGATGAGGCTGGCCTGGGACTTTTAATTCCCCTGCCTCAGTTTTCTTATGTGCCAGGATAGACATGAACATGTCTGCTTTAGCAAATTCTTCTGGGTTCAGGGTTTTGTGTCTCCCACATCAGATGGCCTGACTATGTGAAATATATACATATACATATGTGTATGTATGTATGTGTATATATATATATATATTTCTATGTGAATGATAGATGCCTGACTGTATGTATGTAAACTACATGTGTACAGGAACTCTGGGAGCCAGAAGAGAGTGTTGGAGCTCTTGGAACTGGAGTAACAGGAGGTCAAGAGTTAGCATGTGGGTGCTAGGAACCAAATCTGGGTCCTCTGCAAGAGCACTAGGTGTTTTTAACTGGTGTTTAGCCATCTCTCCAGCTCCCTGACCATAATAATTCAAAAGTATTTCCTGGAGCTGTTAGCATGTGTGAGGCTCTGGGTTCAATCTCCAGCATAACAAAACAAAAGCCTACCCTTACAGACAGCTGTCAGTCTTCCTGCCAGATTACCCTATCATCACCACCCCTTTGCACTTCCTGTTCACTTGGAAATCACATACACTTAGCGAGGTCCTTGCTTATAAGCATTGGAAGTGGTGGCTCCGGCTCGAGAAATGGCTCAGAGGTTAAGAGCACAGACTGCCCGACTAGAAGCCCTGAGTTTCCAGCACCCACACAGTGGCTTGTAATGAGATTTGGTGCCCTCTTCTGACATGCAGCCAGAACACTGTATGCATAATAAATAAATTTTTAGCAGGGCAGTGGTGGTGCATGCCTTTAATCCTAGCACTTGGGAGGCAGAGGCAGGTGGATCTGAGTTCGAGGCCAGCCTGGTCTACAAAGTAGTGCTAGGACAGGCTCCAAAGCTACACAGAGAAACCCTGTCTCGAAGTGGATATGTAGGGTCCAGAGAAGTTGATTCTCAGTGGTGCTAACCATGGGAAGTTTTGTGTGTGTGTGTGTGTGTGTGTGTTTGGTTTATCAAGACAGGTTTTTCAGTGTAGTCCTAGCTGTACTGGAACTCACTTTGGTGGGATTAAAGACCAGCACCACCACCACCTGGCAAGCAAAATTTTTTGATGTTCTAGATAAACAAAAATGATTAGACTATTAAATAACTGGGCTAGAATTTTAGTGCCTAAAGCCTTCTAAACTAACGGTGGCCTTTCATCAGGAAAAAACAGAACGTAAAAACGCTACCAGGGTAAGAACATAAATGACACTGGAATAGGCTCAGGTGCGGCAGTGTACCTGCCGGGCCAACTGTGGGCCTTGGCTACTAAGTGTCTAACATGTCTCATTACAAACAATCTTTGGTAGGTTCTCTTAACAGAAAATGCGACATCAAAAGCCGGGTGGTGGTGGTGCACACCTTTAATCCCAGTACCCAGGAGACAGAGGCAGGCGGATATCTGAGTCTGAGCCCAGCCTGGTCTACAAGAGCTAGTTCCAGGAGAAGCTCCAAAGCTACAGAGAAACCCTGTCTCGAAAAAAAAAAACCAAAACAAAAAAGTGATATTATAATCATGGAAGAGGCATAACAACAAGAGAGGTGAGATTTAGTGTTAGAAATAAATGTGCCTTTTTAAAAGTTAACACAAGTCTAGGGATGTAGCTCAGTGTTAGAGCACTTGCCTGGCAAAGACAAGGACCTGAGTTCAAGTTCAAGCCCTGGTTGTAAACAGTGTTATCCTTATTGACAGAGAGGAATATAAACTGCAAGAAATGGACATTATACTCGGGAGGAGTGGCAGGAGGACCAACAGTTCAAGGTCAACTGAGGCTGCATAAAGAGACTGTCTCAAAAAACAGCTGGGTGGCGCCCGCCTTTAAACCAAGCACTGGGAAGGGAGAGGAAGGCGGATCACTGTTGAGTTCAAGGAAAGTCTGGTCTACAAAGGGAGTTCCAGGATAGCCAGAGTTAAACAGTGAAACCGTCTTGGAAAAAAAAAAAAGTTGGGTAGTGGTGGTACACACTTTAATCCCAGTAGGCAGAGACAGGCGGATCTTTGTGAGTTCAAGGCCAGCCGGGTCTACAAGAGCTAGTTCCAGGACAGCTTAGGGCTATTATACAGAGAAGCCCTATCTCAAAAACCAAAACAAAACAAAACAAAAAAAGAAAACTATCTCAAAAAATAAAGATGCTGCGCGGTGGTGTGGCGGCGCACGCCTTTAATCCCAGGAGGCAGAGGCAGGTGGATCTTTGTGAGTTCAAGGCCAAGCTGGTCTACAAGAACTAGTTCCAGAAGAGGCTCCAAAGCTACAGAGAAACTATCTCGAAATAACATGCAAAAATAAATAAAGATGTAAAGGGTGTGGTGGTGCCCACCTTGGAACTCTGGCATGGGGAGGTTCTAAAGCTCTAAAGTTCAAGGCCAACCATAGCCAAACAGCACATGAAAGCCCAACCACGCTGGCCTTGAGCTACAAGAGACCCAGCCACCAACATTGGCTCCTTGGCTGGAGAGATTGTTCAGTGGTGTTCTTTTTTTTCTTGCAAAGGACCTGCGTTCGATTCTCACCACCCACAACAGGCAACTCACATGCTTTAACTCCAGCATAAAGGGATTTGACATGCCTTTAAGCATATACATGTACTCCTTTCTCATCCTCCCCTCCCATGAGTCAAGCCTGTTGCAACATCTTTTTGCTGTTTTATGACAATACGGGGAAGGAGCTGCCACTTTGACATGATACTGAATTTGAAGGCTTTCCCTTCACTATGAGAATGTGTAGCAGGTATGCCCCTCAGCTTCCCAGACATCAGTCCACAGGGGCCTTCCCCTGTCATTACCTTCCCCAGGAAAAGGTCACACTTGATTATGTGGATGAGTGAGACAAGTCACCACTATAAACAGGAAGCAGAATGCCCCATGGCCACAGTAACCTGTCAGGTGCTATGCCTTCCTTAGGACAAGGACCAGGCCAAGTTCCTAGAGAACCCAGCCCATTCCCACCCCAGACCTGCACCAGAAGCCCCAAGGCCTTTCAGAGCACCCAAAGCAGACGTCTTTCCTTGATCAATTTTCTTAGGGTGCTAACAATGCTCCCTAAGAAGCCCCAGAACTGGGAACTAGGTTGCCCTTGAACACATCACCCAGGTTCTGTGAATCGCTGTCCATCTACCCTCTTGCAGCAATCAATCTGCAGTTCTCAACTGTCTGCTCCAAAAAGCAGGCAGAGGGGCGGGCAGTCAAGGCTAAAGGACCTTCGGAAACCACCTTCAATTTACAGGCAGAGAGTAGTGCCTTCCAGAATGGTACCTGGTGCCTGGAGGAAGCTCGGAGGGTGAATGAATGTCTCTAAACCATGCCTAACATTGGGGTGGGGTGGGGGCTGTCCCTTTACTCTAGGCCTCTGGGAAAGGAGGCTTAGAATAGACACAGCCCCCCTCTCTGACTTCCCAAAATCCACCGGAAAAACTTAGTCCTGATGGTCCCCCGGGTGCTGCTGGCTGGAACAGTTTTCCTCCAACCCGACAGCACTGCTTATTTACTAGAAAACTGCAACAGGTCCTGAGAGCTTTCGTGGTGCTGGCTTCAGTGCTGGCTTTGGGCTGTGTTGCATACAAAACACAGTAGTTAGCAATCTGAATATGTGCGTTTGTGAGCTTACACTTGAGTGTCAGTGTATGTATGTATACACTTGTGGGGTGTCTTCCTTTATTCCCCACTTTATTTAATGAAGTAGGGTCCCTCCCTGAACCCCAGAGTTTACTGACTGCTAATTTAACTAGTCAGGGATCTATCTCCTCTCTCACGAGAGTGCTGGGAGTACAGATAGCTGCCTAGTTTTTCAGTGGGTGCTGGGATCTCAACTCTAGTCCTCGCGGTTGTGTGACAAGTGTTTTATCCATTGAGTCATCTCTAGCACCCTAGTGGCTTTAACTTCTACAGATCCACTATACTTCTACACTCAGGGTCTTCAGAGGTAGAAAAGACCCTGTGTGGTAGAGCAGAAAGAACACTAGGAGAGAACACTCAGGAGACAAGAGCCTACTCCTGCCTCATTCCACCATTAACCACTCCTAAGACACAGAAAGGCGCCAGACCCTTCAGCACTTCACTGTCTGTGGCGGAACCAGGTGACCCACATCCTTCCAAATCTCGGGACAGCTCCCTTATCTTGAGAATATCGAGACAGTCCAATTGAGCACCTGTTGCTCCTCGATACAGGTGCCTGCCATTCTCCAATTTAACTTTTAATGGAGGAAAAACGAAAAACCTCAGTCTCTATCTTACTAATGCTATTCTGTCAGCAGCAGCCAACTACTTAGTGTGATGCCAAGTGACCCATTCCTTCTCCTCTGACATCACTTCCTCTTACTCACTTCCCAAGATGGCTCTTCTCCCTTCCAGTCCCATAACTCATCCTTCCTTCCTCAGAAGCCTCATCTATTAACCACCTCCCAGGTATGCCAACGAGCCAGTCTTGATGAACCACATCGGGTCCTAAGGCAGATCAGCCTGGCAAAACAGGGGGTCGCGTGAAGGTTCTCTTTTATCCCAGGAATAGCCCACCTTACCCCCACCTTCCACCCCCTTGGAGCACTCAGGCCCTCTTAAGGACAAAGTCTCTCTAGTTCGAAGGTCTGAGTTTCTGCGGTTTGGTTGTCTGGAGGAGACAAAGTTATCTGTCAGAAAGAATGGCAGAGAAGAAAGAAACAAGAAAAAAGAAAAAGAGAAACCATGAAAGCGATAGAAGATGCAGAGAAATAGGGAGCTGAGCAATGAATGCCCAGGGCGGCCGAGAAACCCATTCCGGGTGACTGGCACAAACCAGCGTGCACAGTTCCTTCCCAAATCTGCAAAAGGCCAGGTCTGAGGACAGGTGGATGGGAACGCCTCGTGTTCCATCACCTCCCCCGGCCCAGGAGGCAGCAGCGCTCCGGCGGTCGCGCGGGCTCAGCCCCCCCCCACTTAGACACCCCTCAACTCGATCCAAGCCCCGACCTCTGAACCGGCCCCGTGCCCAAGCCCGGCCTTACGTGTTATCCTGGTTGAAGTTGGCGAACAGCAGCTGGCCGGCACCGGCCTCTCCGCTCTGGCTCGCCAGGTTCATGGCTGCGCGCGCGCGACGGGCTCGGACCCCCTTCGCGGGAGCGCGCGCGGCGCAACTCGGGCGGCCCGCGGGAGTGTGTTCCACTCAGGATCTGCGCCCGGTCCGGCTTGCGCCCTCGCTCGCCGCCACTCGCCGAGTGGGGACCAACCGCCGCCTCATCCCGTCCCCACTCTTGTTTATGCTCCAGAGCCGGGACGGGCTACGCGCTTGCGCGGCCCCGCCCACCCTTGCGACGCACGCAGGCGTACGGCGCAGGCCCGCTGCGTAGGCCCCGCCTCTTCGCCGCAGGCTCCGGAGGGGGTTTCCGGTCGATAGCGCTTGCTTGAAGAGGCGCCGGCGGGCGCGCCTGCGCGTGGACGAGAGTGGGGTGGTCCTTGCCGTCTGCAAACGCGGGGTTACCTCGTTGGTCCTGGTACGCTGGTCACTGTTCTGGGGGTCCTGTGCGCATCGCCTTGGGCATAGAGCATCTCCGTTTTACAGTTTTGAGAAGTGAGAACTGTAAACTATTTACCAAATGTTAGATCTGAGACTGGAAACGGTTTCTCCAAGGCGTGTGCGGTCATGGTCCTTGGGACAGGATTCTACTTTAAATGTACTAATTCATGCAAACAGTTTACTGGAAGCATCTTCCCTCCCTCCCTCCCTCCCTCTTCCCCCTTCCTCTCTCCTCTTTCCTTCGTACCCTTCCCCCAAGAGGATGGAAACGCTCGTGTTGGCAAAGGTCCTGGAGAAGATCGAAGCTTTTTTGTTAAGCATGAGTTTGGGTGAGAAGACAAGAAGGCATGAAGAATGAACAGCAGGTGGCAGACCACTGCTAAAACTAAACCTGTAGGCAAGAAGCTGATTGCTCCCAAACTCTGGGCTGTTCTTGAGGATAGAGGGAAGTAGTTACAGCTCCAGGGACAAGGACAGCTGTTGAGGAAAAGATGGCACAGACCCGCCCTCCCTCTAACCATCGTTTTGTTTTTCAGAAACAGGGTCCTATATGTGTCCTAGATTGGCTGAAGCTCAGGTGGACATTTTTTTGATTTGTTTTGTTTTTTTTTTTTTTTTTGAGACAAGTTTTCTCTGTGTAACAGCTCCTAACTGTCCTAGAACTAGCTCTTGTATACCAGGCTGGCCGTGAACTCACAGAGCTCCTCCTGCCTCTGCCTTCCGAGTGCTAGGACTAAAAGCGTGCGCCAACACCGCCCGGCTTGGACTTTTATTTATCTTCTTGAGTCTACCTTCTAAAAGATCACAGGCATGCACCACCATGCTTGGTTGTTTTTAGCTGGGCGGTGGTGGCACACGCCTTTAATCCATGACTCAGGAGGTAGAGGCAGGCGGACAGGCGGATCTCTGTGAGTTTGAGGCCAGCCTGGTCTACAAGAGCTAGTTCCAGGACAGGATCCACAGCTACAGAGAAACCCTGTCTCGAAAAACAAACAACAGACATCTTTTTGTTTTGGCCTTTGGAGACCTTGCCTGGCCTGGAACTCAACCTTGTAGACCAGGTTTACCTTCAACTCATAGAGATTCAACAGCCTCTGCCTCTACCTCCTAAGTGCAGGAATTAAATGTACTACCTTGTCTGGCTGTTTGTTTTAGAAATTGAGAGTTTCCTATAATATATTCTGATCATAGTCAACCTTACTACCCAGATTGTGGATCTGGGTGGTGAAAGTCATCTAAATTGGTGTCTGTCTGCCTTCCTTTCTCTCTCTTTTCCTTCCTTCCTTTCTCATTCTCTCTTTTTCTTTCCTTCCTTCCTTCTTTTTTTTTGGGGGGGGGGGTTTCAAGACAGGGTTTCTCTGTAGCTTTGGAGCATGTCCTGGAACTCATTCTGTAGGCCACACTGACCTCCAGCTTACAGAGATCTGCCTGCCTCTGCCTCCTGAGTGCTGGGATTAAAGGCGTGCGCCTCTACTGCCTAGCTTTCTTTTTTAAACCCATCAAGTTCATTTTGTGCCGCCTATATATTTGTCCTTCCACTGCTATGTGGTCGGTCACCCTATCAAGGACTATATCCTTTTTTTTTTAAATTTATAAACCGTTTATTAGAAGCTTTGGTCTTCTGATCATCATTATCTTTGTGTTATTTTATATATCATATACTTTGGCTTTGAATGAATTGCTCTATGTCTGAGAAGCTGAAAGCATACATTAAGTCTCAGGCTACCCTAGAGTTAAGGGTCTTCATTATTCCCTCTTTGGTTGAGTTCCATTTTCTCTCTTTTAAACATATTTTTTCTTTTCTTTTGTATGTATGCATGTGTAAGTATATGTCACATATGTGTGTGGGTACCCCATGAAGGTGAGAAGAAGGTATTAGGTCCCCCAGAACTGCAGCCTTTGTGAGCCTCCTGACAACAGTTCTGGGAAGAGCAGCAAGTGCTCTTAACCACAAGCCAGCTCTCCAGCCTGCAGGGTTCCTCTTTCTTATCTTGCCTTCATGGTGTTCATTTGTTGTTTAGATAAAAGGAACTAGCCAAGTATATGCTGGAGATGGGTACCACCCTGTGTCTGCTTTCTAAGGACCACATCCTTGAAGAAAACCAACTCCCCTCTTACCAGCAGCTGTTCATTGCCAGTTGCTTTTCAGCTAGGGGTGGGGTATCATGCCGATCTCTCCCATGACCAGACTTGATCTGTGCGCGTCATGTTTGTATGTGGTGTTGCAGCTGCTCCGAGTTCCCTGTGCGGTTGTGCTGCTGGGTCCTGCAGTTTTCCTGTGGTCGTCCTCTTCTGCAATGGTCCCTGAGCCCTGGGAGGAGGGGTGTGGGATATAATGTCCCATTTAGGGCTGAGCACTCCAGTGCCCAGTCTCATTCTCTCCAGTTGGTCAGTGGTGGGTCTCTGTGTTAGTCACCATCTTCAGCGATAGTAACTTCTCTGATGAGAGTTGAGATGCGCTAATCTATGGATGTAACAGGAAGGCACTAGGGGATCAGTTTGATACCGTGTTCATTTAGCAGAACGGTGGTGGTAGATCCTCCTCTAGGCCTTATGACCTGCTTGTCCATGGGTTTGACCCTGGTAATGGTTCTGGGTATGGGTTTTATTTTGTGGAGCAACCCTTAAATCTAATCAATATTATTGGCACAATGAAAGACTTTCTGAACAGGACCCCAGTAACCCAGGCATTAAGACCAACAAATAACCTCAGGAGACTTAACAAAGTTCTTTATGGCAAAGGACATTATTGTTTGAGGGAAGAAGACTCTAGAATGGGGGAAAATCTTTAGAAGCTATACATTTGTCAGAGGGTTACTATCTAGAATATGCAAAGAGCTGAAAAAATAACTAAACATCAAGAAAAATAACCCATTTAAAAATGGGGCATGGAGTTGAGCAACGTGGTTCACACCTTTAAATCCCAGCACTCAGGAAGCAGAGGTAGGAGTTGGAGGCCAGCCTGGTCTACAGAGTAAGTTCCAGGACAGCCAAGGCTACACAGAGAAACCCTGTCTTAAAACCAAAACAAACAAAAAAAGAACACAAAAAAATGCAACCCCTGCCCCTAGTGGGGCATTGAACTAAACATAAAGTTCCTAAAAGAGGAAACAAAACCAGCTGAGAGACATTTTTCTAAAAGTTCAACATCCGCTGGGCAGTGGTGGTACTCACTTTTAATTCTAGCACTCGGGAGGCAGAGACGGGAGTTCAAACTACAGAACTCAAACTATCTCTGAGTTCAAACTACAGAAGGAGTTTCAGAACAGGCTCTAAAGCTACAAAGAGAAACCCTGTGTCAAAAAAAAAAAAAAAACAAAATAAAGAGGTAGTTCCAGGGAAAAAAAAGAAAGAAAAAGGAAAAAAAAGGAAAAAGTTCAACATCTTTTAACCATCAGGGAAATGCAAATTAAAAAATTTGAGATTTCATCTTACTCCCAGTCAGAATGGCTAAGATTAAAAAACAAAAAACAGCCAGGCAGTGGTGGCACACACCTTTAATCCCAGCATTTGGGAGGCAGAGACAGGTGCATCTCTGTGAGTTCAAGGCTAGCCTCTACAGAGGGAGTTTCAAAACAGGCTCTAAAGCTGCAAAGAAAAACCCTGTGTCAAAAAACCTTAATCAATCAATAAACAACCAAACAACAACACAACACTAGCATGGATGTGAGAGAAGTGGAACCCCTATTCGGGACTGGTGGGAGTGCATTTGTACAACTGCTGTGGAAATCAGTGCAGATGCTCTCAAAGGGCTAGAAACAGATCAGCTACGTGACTCAGTTTTATTACTCTTGGGCATATTCCCAGAGGACTCTCTTCCTACGGAGATCCCTGCCCATCTATGTCCACTGCTGCTCTGTTCCTAATAGGTGGGAAATGGAAACTGCCTACATGCCCATCAACTAATGAATGGACAACGAAAATGTGGTTCATTTACACAGTGGATATTATTCAACTGCTAAGAAAAACAAAAATGTGCCAGGCGGTGGTGGTGCTCACCTTTCATCCCAGCACTCAGGAGGCAGAGGCAGGCGGATCCCTATGAGTTCAAGGCCAGCCTGGTCTAAAGAACTACCAGGATACCAGGACAGGCTCCAAAGCTACAGAGAAACCCTGTCTCGAAAAACAAAACAAAACAAAACAAAAAATGGCTGAGTGGTGGTGGCACACGCCTTTAATCCCAGCACTCGGAAGGTAGAGGCAGGCGGATCTCTGTGAGTTTGAGGCCAGCCTGGTCTACAAGAGCTAGTTCCAGGACAGGCTCCAAAGCTACAAAGAGAACCCTTGTCTTGAAAAACAAACAAAAGAAAAAAAAAAGGAAAGAAAAAAATGATGAAATTCACAGGTAAAATTAATGGAGCTGGAAATAATTTTTTGGTTGTTTTTTTGAGACAAGGTTTCTCCATGTAACAGCTCTGGCTGTCCTGGAACTGCCTGTTCCTGCCTCCCTGAGTGCTGGGACTAAAGGCGTGTGCCACTACCACCTGGCTAGAAATAAACACTCTAAGTCACCCAGACTCCAAAGACAAACATCACACATTTTTTCTCATTTATAGATGTTTTGACTCTTTTGACATGTGTGTTTCATTTGGAATACCCACGGACATCAGGAAATTAGTAAGGGGCTATGAGTGGGGGCTTGGATGGGAGGGGAGATCTAGTGCAGTAGTATAAAGAGGTAAGGGGGATAATGGAGCAGGAAGGGTTAAATGGGGCAGGGGTATTTCAGGGTAGAGGAGGGAAAATGGGAGAACTGAGTAT